ACACACATATTCACACAGTCCTCACACACATATTCACACAGTCCTCACACACATATTCACACAGTCCTCACGCACATATTCACACAGTCCTCACACACATATTCACACAGTCCTCACGCACATATTCACACAGTCCTCACGCACATATTCACACAGTCCTCACACACATATTCACACAGTCCTCACACACATATTCACACAGTCCTCACACACATATTCACACAGTCCTCACGCACATATTCACACAGTCCTCACGCACATATTCACACAGTCCTCACGCACATATTCACACAGTCCTCACACACATATCCACACAGTCCTCACACACATATTCACACAGTCCTCACGCACACATTCACCAGGACGGACCGTCCTGAGCCGGGGCCGAAATGAAACTTCCAACATCCGGTGTAGTGACCGTACAGTAGCAATCTGTCTGCTAAACAGGGCCCTGTCAGAATGGTATTATTAAAAGCAGGCACTGCTGTACAAGGGGTGTCTGATTTCAAAGCCCCACCCTGGCATCAGATGGCAGATGCAGGGAAGATACGTTTCACTAACTGTGCTTAGCATGTATTCATATTCCCTTCGGCTCAATTATAGCCTACCTGTATGAGTAGGCATAGGTATCACTCATGTGCATGGCATCATTGTGACAATATTTAATTCCTTTGGAATTATGTGTACGGCAGGTAACAGTGATGTCGTTCTGTATGAAAATGGAAGAGGAATCTCATTTACTGATGATGATAGCACCTCCGATCCTGATGAAAGCAGGAGGATTCAACTCTGCCAATAAAGAGTACAGCCAGGTGAATGATAGAGTCAAGGCAACCCGTGACTATGGTGACTATGGTGACACCACGCTGAAGAGGTCAGTGATCAGCAAGACCCTCGCTGTATCGCTTTCCTGGGACCAGTCGGTTCAGCGACCTGTGTTAGCGTCCAGACACCCCAGAGTGTCACGACAGCCTCCGTAGACCAACTAGTAAAAATGAACTGGAAACAGAAGCTTCGGTGAAGGTGGATATTTTGCCAGAAAAGGAAAAATCTGTGAATAATATTCATGCCGAGACTGAGGAGAGTCAACAGATAGCATGTGAGGAGCCGCAGAAAACATGGGCAGAAAACTTGTGAAAGCTGCACTGGTGTCGGGCTCAAGGGAAAATATATCAGTAACTGTTCTACTGTTTCAAGGCCTGGATGCCCTTCATGCCAGGAATCTGCCAAACGGCCTAAAATTACATAATTACAACATCTGATATGTATGCGGTGCAGCTATGAAAAGATGCATAAACAACAACCTTGTCTCAGAACTGAAAACACGTACCGCAGTAAATATACAAATAAAACCAAGCTGAATGCACTTGTTTATGAAACAATTTATTCATAAGCTAATGAATAAACATTAGAGGGAATAATTGACAATGACATCATTAATTATATGCGCTCAGCTGCAAAAGAATGTTGGAAAGTTCAGTCAAGCTACTTGTGATAAATCCGATATAACAGATTTCAGATGTATATGGTTCACTACATGGGTTGTTATGGTTTAATGACATGTTTCAACATATTAATATAAACAAAGGCAGGGCATTAAGAAAATGCAAAATCATTTCTGAACACTAGTTACATTTATAAACACCATCATTTAATATAATTTAAATGTATGAAAATCCAATGCCACAGTAGTGCTGCTTCTACTCATGGTAGTTTGATTAACCTAAGCCCCAAGAAAACCTCAACCTCCCAAGCCTTACATCCTATGTACAGCACATTTATATTACGCAATATGGAAATTGTAGAATATCTATGCATTCTATGTGCAACGCATAAAACCAAGGCTTCTGTATTATGTTCAGAACCTGTGGACTGGATTTTTAGACAATTGTCTAGATTTTCCTTAAACACAAAATGTAACGTAAACAGACATTGCGCTTAGGAAATTCCAGATCTACGACACGTCTTTAAAACTTTAAAATGGAATGTTGCGCTGAATCAGAGCACACCCGCCCAACAGTCACATCTGCTAGCTAACCCTAAACCTAACCCTAACCCTAACCCCAATAGGTATATTTGATGGTTCACTAAAACATTCTGCCACAAATGGACCGACCGAGTAGAGAAATGCTGTGGGTCCAGGCACGAACTGCATCGATACTGTGTGCTGCTGCACAATGCTGCCTGAAGACATGGCGCATGCACAGATGGGGCAAATGTTAAAATACCATTTTAATAATACCATTAACATCCAGGGAAATGGGGTACAGGGAACTTAACCTCATTAGGAGAATGGAATTGAGGTCCACCTCTCCTCTTCCACCAGTCAGTCGTCCTTTGCCTTTTCTGTCTTGATCTTTACTGTTGTTAGTTTAATAGCCTATTTCTGAACTGTAAAAAAATGTTTCGGCCTTGTAGTGATACATGCGTTCATAATCTCTGAGATCATAAAAAAAAGTAAGTTAAAAAGTATTAGAAATGCAGCTATATAGTCTTTCACTATTCCTCCAGAGAGCTGGTTTGGGATAAAGGGGTCCCAGTCCAAGTGTTACTCAGTTAGAAAGTGGGGCAAGCTTGGGGGAGTAGAAGAAATCAGGTTAGTTACTACAGCAGGAGCTCTTGCTGGGCTGGGCTGTCTCAGTTAGGTCCACACCCCTGGATCTGCCAGCGCCCGGCACAGAAGCTTGAGCTTCATTCTTGGGCAATCTCTTTGCTGGACATGGGGGGGGAAAAAAACAGTTGGATGAGATTCTCACAGACATTTTGGTTTTTGTTGCCTGGATGAGAAAGACAGGATATTTGTAAACATACCAATTTCCATGAAGATTTCATTGACATTCACTGAGGTTTTTGCAGATGTCTCCATGAACAGTAAACTGTTTTCATCTGCATATGACTGCGCTTCCTAAAAAGTAAATTTATGTTATCTTTACATAATCCTTTTAAATGCAAAAAAGCACCTTAATTATGATGAGAATTACTTTTAGAAAGGGTCAGGATTAGAAATGACAGAATTAAACGTAACCTGAAAGTCCACAGCCCTCTTGTTCGCAAGGTCAGCCTTATTCCCAGCCAAAGCTATGACAATACTGGGACTTGCTTGTCTTTGAAGTTCTTTCACCCAGTTTTTTGCACGTGCAAATGATTCCTGATTATCCCAGAAAAAGAAAAACAATTAGTTAATATTGAGCTTTCTAAAAGATGCCAAAGAAAATGCTTTTTTCCCTATTCATAACCCATTAAAACTGTTGAATGCTACTTAACGGTTTTACACATATTAATAGAACAACTCAAGTTTATAGGGACATCTATACTAGCAAAATGCATATATATATATATTCATCCAGTATCCTTGCTTTCCAGACTTTATGTTAATCATTTCAAGGCAAATTAGGTCATGGATATTTTTTTTAATAAATTCATTTAAAAAGAAAATTCACAGAGTAGATAATTATCTTTTTGCTGCAAAAGAGTATCAACTAATATTGTTAGTATTAAGCACTGGGCAAAAAAAAAAGAAAATGACACTATGAAGTTTACTATGCCAATATTTATAATACATTTTCCATCCAGCCTTGAACAAAGTACAATTCATCCATCCGGGTACTTGCCGTAGTAAAAGCTACAACTGAGTTGGAACATTAAATAAAATAAATTATGATTGTGCAAGCAAGCAAAGTATTCACTTTGTTTAATTTAAATAAAATTTACTTACAACAAGAGAAACAGAAAGATGAAGGACCTACAAAATGCAGCTGCCACTCTTCTTCATAAATACCCTAAATACAAAAATGCTCTAGCACTGCATCTGCCATTAAAGTTCACAAGAGGTAATGTGGATTTTCTCCGCATTTTGAGGTAAACATCCACAGGTTCACATAGCTGGAACTGAGGACGGATCTATTCGTATATTACACCAGCGATACCTGTGTCCCACTGCTCATCTCTTACTTCACGTATGACATCATTGCGACTCACTTTGTTTGTGATGTCATACACCACAATGGCGGCCTGCGCACCTCTGTAGTACATGGGTGCTAAACTGTGGTAACGCTCCTGTCCAGCTGTGTCCCAGATCTCAAACTTCACCGTTGTATCATCCAAACAAACTGTCTGGGTCAGGAAGGCCGCTAAGTCAAACACAAACATAACAGAGCTTTCTCTGGTTCTGCTCTATAAAAATAAATCGCCAAATTACACGTAAAAAAAATGTCAGGCTATATAAAGGAAGCTTCACACCATAGTTACACTGTATAAATGACTGTACGGTCTAAAATTGCTTGACTTACCTCCTATTGTGCTCTCCTGGAACTCATGGAACTGTCCCTTAACAAAACGGAGCACAAGGCTTGATTTTCCCACTGCAGACTCCCCTAGAAGCACTAACTTAAACTGGCAGATCTTGTTCCCGGTGTTTGATCCATTCGGCCGTGTAGCTCCTCCGCGATTTGCCATAATCTCAATCCAGTTTCTGCTCAGGTCTAACGGGTGGTTCTCAACTGGTCTCTCTTAGAACCTCAAAAGAACAGGGAGGACACAACCAGTAAGATCTCTCACATAACTGCAGAGTGCTTTTCCAGTTGTTCCTATCCTGAGGAAGGACCAAGTTTAAGTAATTTACAAAGCATTCAAAACTCTGCTGCTCGTTCCCACCCACTTGTTTTTGATGATATACTGTATATAATTTTTTTCAGGGTTTCCTGATCTCGCGTGTCCAACATTAGCCCAAAGTTACACACAGGCCCTGGAAACAGTCCCAGGTGTTGTCATACTATGGGCCAGCAATCATTCAACTGAGGAAGTTAACTTGGTCAAGCATCTCAAATCACATCCCTATTACTTTTCACACAATAACCTGTGGCAGTCCTTCTGGAGCCTTGAAACTGACTACATACACCCAACACTCATTTTCTACTTAAAAGCTTAGCAATCATTTCTATAGATAGGGAGAGAAGAGAGGAAAATAATAAACTTTCTATAATGGTCAGCTTAATTATTATGTACAATCAAAAAGTGAAGGCTAATAAAGATATAGGGATTCCACAGCAATGCTCGATATGAGGAACACATCATGACTTTTCAGCAAATGCTCAGAATGGCAATAGATTGTGCTGCTTAAGAACTTAAAATTTTTAATGACCATAACATCGCTCCCGCAGTCACTTTTGGTATGCTGTCAGCAAACCATGACTAAAAAACAGAAATGACAATATGAGTGGTACCACAGTGGATCCATGAATTTCACAAAATGGTGCAGTGAAACATTTGAATAATTCACAGTGTGTCTTAATACTCTTCAACATTTAACTTGAAGCTTGAAAGGAGGGTTGGCATGGTACTACTTTTTTATTCCAGAGAAATACCAGATTTTTGCACAGCCTTTTAGTAGCCAACATATTTAATCTAAATAATAAAAAAAAATTGCGAGCTTCTTGTTCTGCAAGTGACACTCATTTTCCCTAAATTTGTCTGAAAATAAAAATGACTAAGGGAGCGTTTTCATAATCACACACACACACACACACACACACACACACGACTCGTTAAGTTACTGATACATTCAAACAGGATCTGTCTATTGCGATAAAACAGGAACTGGTCTATTGCGATTACTTATTTTAAATTACGGCACCAAATATAACGATGACAGACATACCAAACGTGAGAGTAAAAAGCGAGAGTAGTCATACTATGTTAACAAGGTAATGACAACAACATGCCGCGGTTTCGCAAAGTTTCCAAGTCGAGGCATTATCACAGGTAACGTCGTTAGCGACTTAAATGTCGCAGATGGGTGTTGCTTTGTTTCCCCTCGCATTTTACGGTGATTACAGCGCGTTCTCACCGCCACCCGACATCAATACTTAGACACCAGCGATGTTCGTCTTACTGCTCTATGTGACGTTTGGTCATACCAAGTTTTATTTTCCCAAAAACACAAAAAAATGAACCACTCATGTTTTAATAAAAGTGTTAATGCATGGCCGACTAAGAATGTATGGCTAAAGTACAAATAATTGAGAAGACAATCAAGAAATACACCGCCCACCTAAACACACTGCGCAAAGCCATCTAAGTGTCTTTCGTGAAAAATTAAATTAGTTATTTTCGTAAATTTAGATCTCAAATGCAAAAACAAAAACTGTTAGTATAAGTCAAAGTAACTGACACCTACGAATATAAACAGATAGCTGACAAATGCACCCAGCCGTCTCTAAGCGGACTTACAAGACGTAGATAATGAGACGCGGAGCCTTAGAAAAAGACACCCGCTTAATGAGATAGTTATTCCAAAATACCGTCAAACATCCGCCGGCCGCTTTCATTTCTTGGCCGAGTTCGGCCTACAGTTACTCGTCCTGCCTGGCAGGAGACCCCCCCCCTCCCCGGAACCGCTAGCCGCTCGCGAACCCACTTACCTGAAGGCCGCGCCAAGTGCAGCGCTCTCCGCTTCTCCGTATCGACGGCCGCTTAGGGGGAATATTACTGACCAAGTTTTATTTACGGCTACTTCAATAAAGCTGAAATTTCGAGCAGCCCCACACAGCACCCCCTCTTTTCCTCCTAACTTCCCCTTAGACCGAAAACACTCACGTACGTAAGGGTTTCCGCCCCTCGTGCCACGTCAGACAGCCCTTCTGCTCACCCGGCGCGGCAAATTCTGACCCCAGATCGGTTTCTGCACAGCCGCCCGGCGTTAATACAGTGTCCCTCAGTATCGGTCGGCACGGTGAATTTTGCCTTCAGATTGGCTTCTCCACAACTGTGTAATGAAAAGACCACACACGTCCATATTAGAGAGCGAGATGAATTCCGACCTCAGGTCAGTTTCTGCTCTGCCGCGTGTCGGACGGCGCGTCGAATTCCGACCCCAGATCGGTTTCTGCGCCGTCGCACACTGTACCTCCGCAAACGGCGAGCGAATTACGAACCGGTTCTGCTCAGTGTCTGAGACCGGTTTGCCTTACCTCATTCTATTCAGATTATATCGATAAGAGAATGATCGTTTCAGGTACTGAGAGTACATCACGCGTGATCGCTAATCGAAATTAGCACTCATTTGACGTATGTGGGCCAATATTTGAGAGCGTCAGTCGCACAAAGTTAAATTAGTTTCAAAAAGGATTACATATTGTTTAGTTGTCACTAAAATAAAACAGGAATTTTAGGGATAAATTTGCCTCCTAACAAAGAAAAAAAGTGAAATATTTTATCTAATTGTATAGAAAGATGGTTTGTGACTTCCCTGTCATTCGGTCTTTGAAACAAAGATAAAATCCTATCCAGAACTGCAAAAGTAAAACGAACAGTGACACCCTTTAGATCTAACTAAGGCATGCTAGGCTAAAACATTAATGCACCTTAAATGTAGGTCCTGATCGAGCCTGGCAACGTGCTGAGCAGATTTACATATCAATTCAGATGCACAAGTATTCATCTATTTATGAGTATAACATTCCTTTTGCTGAGGACAGTAGTACCAAACGGCATACTATTAACAATTTCAGTTTCATAAACACGCGCTTAATATTTCGATCTACAAGTTAGTTTTGATCTGCTATTACGTCGCTGTAATAATCGGTAGAATCCGCATCTGGGTAACTGTTGCTAAGTAACAAGTCATAAACATTCCGTGAGGTAGATGGCATGACAGCTTACCTGAACGGCGGATACAACAAATGTCTTTGCAGAAGGAAGTTAATATAGTTTTTCGTTCCGACTTTATTTTGATTGAAAAGTCTTCCAAGAAATATGACTCAGACTGAGCAAAACACGACACATGTTTCCTCATGCCAAAACAGGTTTCCAAATATTCATGCGGTAATAATTTTAATGAAGCAATCTTTTATTTATTATTTAAATTAAATTTAAAAATTGTGTAATGTTAGATGGGTCATTTCTACAGAAAATATTTTGTTCTCACGTTCATGACTTTCTGTCTTACTAATCGTAAATAATCGTTTTTTCCCTTACACTTGCAGGCAGGTAAACACCTACCCACAGATGATGAGGTAAAAACTTGCCTGCAGATGATACCAAGGGTAAGTTTTTATGACCTATATTATACAGTACTCGTATTTGTTACATTAATGAAAACAATCACTGATGCTTTAATCGAGGGGCTGTTAAATACTTTAATAATATATCGGTATCATTTTTTTTAATTTTTTTTTTTACAGCTAAACCGTCTTTTTATCACTTTGCATTTTAGATTATTTAATGATGTCTGTACAATTTAGCAGCCCGCCACTCCACCAGCGATCAAGAAGTTCCTGAACACCACGCGCCCAGAGGTTGGGGCAACCCGAGTGTTTTACGGGAAAGCTGGTGACCCTGACATCGCCAGCGCCCTGCGCCATGGTGTGAGGACCAAGGCCTCTGTAAACGTGAGTCCTCATACTGTAAAAGGCAGGAAAGATGAACAAGACGCAACATCAGTTCAACAGCCTAGAGTGTATGAGGGCAAATTCAGTGTAAATACTCATTTTTTCGGGAAGATCAATATGTTGCCTTTTATAAGCTTTCGAGAGTTTACCATGGTATTACAACACAGATTACTGGTTTTGCCGACCACATTCCTCTTCTTAAACAAGAGTCACCCCAGTAAGATACTTATCCTTTGACAATTTATAGTTTACAGCCCTATGTCACATGACTGGATTTAAAGAGAAATTCCACAAAAAATGGTTTCACATATGTTCCTTGTCATATGTCACATGTTAGAAATCTATTATGCCTCTCTTATTTTGTATTTGTAATAAATAAATCAGATATATGGTTTGTGTCATATGGAACAAAGCCCATAATCTGAGGATCACAAATTATAAAGGACAAGGTGTACTTCACTTTTAGAATTAATATAATAAATTTTGTTTTATTGATTGATACTTTATTGATCCCTGCGGGGAAATTCTCTTTACGCCTCCCCTAACTTGCTCTCTGTGGGTGAGAGCAGGCTGGCTGTGAAGGGCAGCTGGCCATAGCGACACCTGGGGAGCTGGGGGTTAGGGGCCTCGCTCCAGCACCCACAGCTGTGCCCAGGCCGGGCTCAAACCGGCAACCTTCTGATCACAGGCACAGAAGCTGAGCCCACTGAGCCACACGCTGCCCCCTGGTGTTATGCTTTAAAGAAATATTAATTGCCAGAAGACAATCGGGAATACACACAAGATAAGAAAAATGCTGATCGCATTTAGCTTAGGTGTTTTAAGTCTACACTTTCGATAATAATCTCACCAAGGAATTGAAATATTAATTAACATTATGTTCTTGAAAGGTACATTAAAAAGCACTTTTGATATTGATCAAGTTCAATAGCAGCTTTGTTTTGGTTCCTACAGGGAGGGTTAGTAATTAACCCGAAACCAAAAACCGTCTGTCAGCACAGACTCCAACAGCTACAGGAAGCTAGCTATTTCAGCAACAGCAGTGCTCCCCTTGGGCGATCACATGATCAGCGCTCCACACTGCCACAGGGACTGGACCCGAGTACAACTGCATTTGGTGTGAAGTCCACTCAGTGTAAGTAAAAAAAATCTTTGATACTACATGAATCTTTTCATCTGACATTTAACATACATAGCTGTTTGTTACAGTGTAAAATATTCTTTGTTTCTTTACATGAAGGTTTCACTAACTTAAACATACTTATTTCTGTCTCTCAGAAGGTATCTTAAGCCAAATGCAAGTGAATTTTAAATACACATATTTACAAATCAGTTCAAATTCTTTTATTTTGTGATCATTTTGTTTTCATATTTGGTTGAATATCTAGAATTCTGCCTCCACTGGTACTTTGTTCAGACCAACTGTTGCACACATTGACGATTGGATTTAATTGTCATTGTTTCTCATATGTGCAGCTGTTAAAGCTGCGGTCATTATTAACCCCTTGAAGACTCCAGAGCAGGTGAAAAAAGAGAGTGAGGAAGGTCACCAGTTGTACATCAGGTCTCATCATGCATACAGTGTGGGTAAGTTATATGGACGTAAAGACCTTGTTCTTTACTTAGTATGCCTGTCAGGTCCAGAGAGTACAAATCCAGACCAAGATTTTGTTTCAACCAATCAGTTGAGTACTCTGTGACTGTGACTCTTTATACTCAACTGGTTGGTTGAAACAAAATCTTGGTCTGGATTTATACTCTCTGGGCCTGAAATCTCCTCCTCTGCATTAGGGTGTGAGTACATCGGAATGTGCGTGTGCATATATCGATATGCGCCGTGGAGTTTCTAGCTATAGAAAAGATCAGGATCTAAGTCAGGTTTACCTTGGGCTTGACTTATCTTGTTTTTGAAGGAAGACTGACATCGGGGCTAAAATACTCGGGGCTATAGCCCCAGGTGATTGGACCTAACGACACACATGTGTGTGCACATACCTGTGTGTGAGAGGTGAGACTAATCAATTTCTGACTTATTGGGCTGGTTTTGTGTCCATTCACTATTGGTACACCGGCAAATAGATTTTGTTTGTTCACTAGACGTCAACTTTCGAACGAATAGGCCTATGACATTTTTAGAACCATTTTAGACTTTTTTATCTTTTCGATAAAACCTTTACACGGATCCGAGAGATCGTGTACCTTGTTGCTATATTCCGCAGCTGGGTAAAAATGTTACGTTTTTCACGCTTTTACCTCGAAGTCAGTATACAGACGTCAGTACTGCAGCGAGGAGGGAACGGGCTGTGGAGTTTTGTCCAAGCTAATCGGATCTTTGAAATCCAGGTGTTGCTGCGCTGGTTGTAAACACCATCTGTCTGATCAAAGCAGAAATAAGGGCATAGACTCGCTCGGTCTGCTGCATAAACGAGGTGGCTGCTTTATGGATGCCGCGTGAATTGAAGGCGCAGACAGAACAAGCATCTAGATGCGATCGTCCATCACCATTCCTCTGCACGGCAGTTCGTAAATGAGTTAATCTGACAACAGCGAAGGTAACGTCTAAATGTTCGGAGCAGACTTTTATTACCATCTGTAAAACGTGACTACTCGGCCTGAGTCTACTATGCAGGCATAATAGCAGCTCATAATCGAAAAGCAGGACTTTAGATCTTTCAAGGTCTTCCAGACCACGTGTGTCACTTCCAATTCAATCCGTTGTGTGCTGTCTTGTGGGCACATCTTTACTGAAACATTACATAGGCTATGTAGGTCACAGTGTGTTTCTTCTAGAAGAATGGAGGTAAGTTGTTTTGAACGGAGGTCTTTTCTGTTTCAGTCCTAGCCACTACAATCCCATGTTTAATCAATAGGGCAGTAGGCTATGCATATTACAGCCATAATTGAATTTACTGGCCAATATGGTTAATGTGTGTGCACTATAACTCTAAATAAATGTAAAAGGACGGGTTTAAATATTTACTTCCCAAGCATTTTAGAAAGAAAACTAGTAAGCTCATTTCCAATTCTCGCCTCCGACAGAAGTATGCCTTTGATCCCACAGGGGGCGCTGAGGAGAACCCAGGGCAATTCTCTCAGGATAGCTTTCTTTGTACTGTTTTCCCTGTTGTCATTTTAAAAAAAGGCAGCAGCCAAATAGACAATGTTTGATCAAATTACTATACTCTGTTTTTAAAGGTCACGAACACACGTCTATTTCACTTAGCCTGAAGCCTTTGTGACGCGCAATGTTCAGTTTATCAACAATTCATCGGAAATCACTGGGACCAAAGAGCAACTACGCCCCCTAGAGAGCACTCAGTAACGACCGCGCGTATTAAAACATAATTTGGAGCAAGTTACAGCTACACGATGGCAGCCAGTGTCAGCAAAGTACGAAAAATACAGACAGACAGGCGTCTGAGCGCCTCATTCATGTCCTCGCGTTCCAAATACGTGATCCTAGTTATCATCTTGTTGTTTGTTGTGGTTTCTTGCTGTTAATTAATGATACTGGTATTAAGGTCAAAACAGTTAAAAACGCTGACCTTTTCAAGTAGGTTACCATGCCGCAAGTTTATCGACGTGATCATAAAGCCGTTTCAACACCGGATTCCCCCGAACTGTCAACTTTGCAGCTGAAGAATTCGTCTTCTTTTCAAGCAAGCAAATTCGGTATAGTAGCCTAATGAGGCGAACAGCGCGGAAAAATCTCCCTTTTCTTACAGAATCCTTTTAGCGGCGAACAAACTTTTCCTGGTGCTGGGAGAGGAGGACGCTGCCAGTCTTCACTCGTGTCACCGATTCACCCACGTCAACTTAAAAAGCAGAGAACGGGTGCAACTTCACCTGTTTCTCATGCTGCCGAAAATGGACATGTGAGCAGAGGGAGCGTGCATGGCGCGTCTTGCGCGCCGTGACTGTGCACCCCATTCCACGTGGCCGTGGAGACCTGCAGGACACCCGGCTTCGCGCTAAGATCCAGTAAACGCGCTCCTCCCAAATTGCTCGAGATATTATTTTATCTATCTGCCTTCAGTCTAGCTGCTGTAATTCCTTGATAACTGGTTCCCGTTACTGTTGCATTGACTTAGAAACAATACACAGGGCCGTCAGCTTTGGTCAGCTGGCTGGCGTGAGATTTTCAATTCGAGACAAGTTTGCACACTGACTCACATTTTTGCAAGAGTTGTATCACCTTGTAGTCTGTAGGGTTTGCAAACTACCCCAACGCCTTTGATGCAGCTAATTTTAGGTTTATAATGGAATAATATATATTTGTAAGATTCTCGAGAGTGAGAGTCTGCAAGTATGATCGAGTGTCACGCCAGATACGTGAGTTGACAACCTTGAATACAGGTATCACCCGTGAGATGCAAATTCATAATCTGAAGATTAGTTACGTGTAATCTTCAATTAATCATTGAACAGACTTAGATTTTATTTTTTGCATAAAGCTTCACTAATGATTTAGGCTGTTACCCAGCATGCTGAACCCACATTTAGTTGACATATCTTTGATCTAGTGATTTTTTTCGGCTCAACAGTGCTGTGCATTTTTCCGTTTTAAAGTGAACCCTTGAAATAGCGATATCGCGACTGTTTTTTTTCTTCTTCCCATCTCGATCTGCACGAGGCCCTGAATAGCGCTGTTTCCTGTGCGGGTCAGTCCTCGATTGCATGAAATATGATGCCCGTACACTATACTTTAAAACGAAAACTGTAAGAAATTAATCTTTCCCATAAATTTAATTGGAGGGTTGCTTTCATGTATGAGAAATAAAGCATTTATTCTATTTACCCCCAAATAGCCGTCTGAGTCGTTAATGGAGCTTTTTTATAATCACTGCCGCACTCATCAGCAGCAAAAATATGTTATATTAAATTATATGTAATTAGAACATATATTGTTGTTTAACAGAATGACTACACTGTTATGATGTGACGGCATAGGGTCACATGTCCACGTTTGATATAGAACGCTATATCAGTTTGATCCAGTGGAGTTTCCTGGCCATGCTTCGGGACTGGGGACTGGACCCCACCAAGGGAATCACGTAGGGGGTGCATGTCTTCCTCCTCGCTGCCCTTTCTGTTCTCTGTGTCATCTCCTCAGGTGAAGGAGTAAACCGTTCCAGGGACAACCTTCAGCTCACATGGTATCAGATGAAAGACTGAATAATGGACTGACTCTAAAGAATGGTGGGGCGGGGCGGGGCGGGGGGGGCGGATCCTTGACGGCTGAAGAATGTTCTGGAAAATGGAGGCCAACCAGCAATTGCCTTTGAGAGAACCCCACCCCCCACCCCCCTCAAGGCCTGAAATAAATAAGAGGAGCAGCCAGGCTGCATGAGAGAAACGGAGCAGGGAAGAGGGAGATCATTACCGTGGAGAGTCACCTGGCCAGCAGCGCTGGGAGGCAGCCTGGAGCCATTAGGCTACCAAGTGAGTCGGAACGTGGGCTCTGGGTGTGGGGGGGGCACAGGGTGCCTGTGAGCTCGGTCCGAGAGGAGCTGGGAGATTCAGACACATCGTGATTATTATTGTTTATCGGAACAAAGTGCCTGGTTGCGAAAGATAAACGACGCCTGTTTGTTCAAAACTGAAGCTGTTGACGTTGTTGTGCGGCATCAATTTCCAGCCAGGCGATCGTCTGCGAGGGAAAAAGAGGTACGGTGCAGAGAAGTCAATGTTTACACCTCAGACTTAAAAAATGGTGAAGACACGAGATGCTCTTTCGTTCAGGAAGGAGTCTGGCATCAATGGTAAAGTGATCAAGGAGACTGGCGTGGTCCAATCTTCTTGAGCTGAGAGCTATCTATCCCTAGGTTGCCGATCGTGGTCATTTAAACTCCATCACTAATATAACAAAACACTAACATATATTTAATATAGTTGTAACAATATTACACATCACCCATCACACATCACTTTGCATTGCACATCACCCGATATTACACATCACCATATATTGCACAATGCATACTATTTCTTAAATTGAACTATCCTTTGCACATTGTTTTGTTCAGTTTATGTTTACACTGTGGTCCCTGAGTTTCACCATTTAATCTCTCTGTATACTTATATGTAGTGGAGATGACAAAGTTCACTTTGACCCAACCTTGAACGAAGGTGGTCTGCATGGCTGTGACTTCGTTTTCTCCGCATGTTCTTTCACAGACTAGCAGGTGGCCACCCTGGTGCTGCTCCTGGGGGGGTCTGTGATGACCCTGTCGGCCTTCATCGTCGCCCTGATCTCGCTGTGCCGGGGCACTCACAGGAAGTGCTGTCGCACGGTGGCCGTCTTCCTCTTCACCGCAGGCAAGGCTTTGCCCGTTCCTCACCTTCTCGTGTTCGTATCTTTGTCCTTCTCATGCTCCTTGAGCTTGACAACATTTCTGAACAGTGTCACCGCAGCCCNTACTCTGTGACTGTGACTCTTTATACTCAACTGGTTGGTTGAAACAAAATCTTGGTCTGGATTTGTACTCTCTGGACCTGAAATCTCCACCTCTGCCGATCATTAATAATTTCTGCCCCATTAACAAGCTGGCTTTCTAGTTTCAATAAGATCTGCCATGACCAGGTGAACGTATCAGCAGGAATTATAACTGGAGCCATGTTAGGGGCGACTGCCGCTTTGGACTCTCCACCCCCCACTACAACGATGGACGGAGAGTCGCCAAGAGTCTCTGCTGGCTGTAAGAGTTCATTTCTGCTTTAATTAAGATCTGTAATATGGAAGGAGTTAAGGGAAACATGCAAAGTTAAATTAATCTGCCAGTTCAGATGTATTAAAGAGGCTTATTGTGTCTTCCGAAGTTATGGTCATATGGTCATAATTATTCCTCATTTGTAGGATTTAGGATTTATCTAATACCAGGATGAATTCCACTTTGTTAAATCTCCTTGCTTTTGTTAAACTCTTTGATCAAATGAACATTAACAGCAATGACTGCAAACAGATGGAATCCACTTTGTACACTGTTACAACTGTCCCCACAGGCAGCATGAGGGGAAGTTAATTTCGGTGCGATATGATGACTTCAGGAAGAGGACTCAGCCACAGACCAGGAAGGTGCATGACCCGTAAGTCCATGCCAAGCAGGAATATGAATGTTGGAAGCATAGCTTTCAATTCATGACTTCAGTATTGTTATCTGTCACTCATTTTAAGAAGCAATATTGTGTTTGTTATAGAATTGCAGAAACACTGATTGTTCCAGAAAATCACACATTCGGGATTCTGTCATCTTCTGATAAATTTGGTAAGTTTTTTTTCTTGACTTCCTTCAAATTATTGGATTGCGACGTCACTCAATGAAGAATGAAATGAAATGTATTGCAGTATACACACACATGCACACACACACACACACACACAATATATATATATATATATATATATATATATATATATATAGATAGATAGATAGATAGATAGATAGATAGATAGATAGATAGATAGAGAGAGAGAGAGCACCTGCACACATTGAATATTTCATACTGAATATTTTTATAGATTTGCTCTCAGTAGGGGGAGCTCTAGGCTAAAATACTGATTTATTTGGAGATACAGTACAATACAGTAATTTACATGTATCATAAATATGAGCAGTATCCTTACAATAAACACAAATGATTATATATCAGGTTTTATTTAAATGGTTTGCAATTCATAATTCTTTATATTTGGGAAATATGTTTGCTGTAGTATAATTTAATTGTTTTTCATTTTATAAATCTTTTATTCTGATTATAAATTTTTAAATAAGTTTTTTAAGAATTAAGCTGTAATCCTCACGTGTGTTTCATGGTTTTTGCAACAAGACACTTTTTGTCCTGGGTATGATGTCAAACTGCACCGGGCCCTGCAAGTGATCCTCCAACTTGCAGGGAATAACTTGGGGGTTGGTGGCTGGATTGGCACTCCAACCACTGTGAAACACTTCATGACAGCTTGGTTCAAACAGGCATGACATCGGGAGTAAAATCCCTGGACAAGTTGAAACCGTCTGAGAGCTAATGGGGTCAGGCCTGTTGGGGATGGGGGCTGTTGGGGATGGGGTCTGTTGGGGATGGGGTCTGTTGGGGATTGGGCCTGTTGGGGATGGGGGCTGGTGTGGGGCTGAGGCGTCACCTGCTGCATGGCGGCACTTGGGTCCCAGTTTGAGGAGACCCATCTGGGTAGGCGTGTGGAACATCTTGTCTGTCTGGCAGGATGACCATCTTCCCTTGCTGTCGGGCAACTTCGTAAACTCCGCATTTCAGTGGCTGCACTCTCTGAGGTACGCAGACCGGGGAGTGGCCAGATCTCTGTAGGTGGGTATACCTACTTTCGGTCTGGTCGGTCTGACGGCTGCCATACTCTGGGAGTAGCTGTTGCTATAGCGGATCAGTTCCTCCTGATGGTGTCTGATGTCACTCCTTTCAACGAGCGTATTATGAGACTCAGGCTAAGGCACTCCTTGGTTGTCTTGTCTGTTGTCTCAGTGTATGCTCCGATCTCTGTGAGTGATGTCTCGCTGAGGGAGACATTTTACTCTCAACTTTGCTCGGTGGCTGATGGGTGCCTACAAGGTGACACTTCCTTGGTCTGCTTCCATTTGAAAGACAGGCGTCATCCCAACTGACTGGAAAATGGGACTTGTTATCCCTATCTGGAAAGGGAAAGGTGATCGCCTGGATTGCAGCAACTACAGGGGAATAACACTGCTCTCAGTGCCGGGTAAGGTCCATGCTTGGGTCATCATCAACAGGATCCATGATCACTTGCTCGTCTACCAGTCTGGTTTACGCCTAAGAGGTCTACCATCGACCACATCCTGGCACTGAGGGTTCTCATCGAGCGTAAGCGCGAATACCGGCAGCGGTTCTTTGCAGCTTTGGTCGATTTTCGTAAAGGGCTTGACTCAGTTGATCGAGTTGCCCTGTGGGGCATCCTGAGACTTTGTGGGATCCCCCTGAAGATGCTGGATGTCATGGCCGGCCGGTATACTGGTACTGTGCAGAGTGGAGGCTGAACCTCTGCATTCTTCCCAGGGGATTCTGGGGTTCACCAGGGGTGTGTTCTCGGTCCTGCTCTGTTCAGTGTTTGCATGGACTGGGTGTTGAGCAGGGTTGTGGGGTCCAGCGGTTGTGGGGCGTCTGTTGGTGAAGAAAGATCTAACAATCTTGATTCTGCCAATGATTCTGTGATCTTCACGGAGTTAATGGAGGCTCTGATCTGGGCTCTCGAGAGACTGAATGAGGAGCCTGAATGTCTGGGATTGTGAGTGTGCTGGATAAAAACCAAGATCCAGGCCTTTAATGACTTCTTAGGCTAGATTAGATTAGATTAGATTAGATTAGA